GCGAACGCAGACGTATTTCCGGCTGTCGCTTGTCTCCGCCGAAAATAACGTCTGCGAACCCGAGCTAGGAGACGATTTCTGTGATGTAATGACTTTTGTTTGTCCTTGGCCAATCAGATTCCATGATAGAATGGAACTCGAGTGCTTCTCGCGGCGAATACCTCGCGCAGTAGTTCTGGGGCTACTCGAGCTAAACTGTGATTGGCTTAAAATTCCTACGTCACAGAAATCATTTCCTGGCTCGGATTCGCAGACGTTATTTTCGGCGGAGAAAAGCGAGAGCCGCAAATACGTTTGCGTTCGCAGGCTACGACGAGATGGTTATCAGATAAAGCGTGCGTGTCAAATACGTTCGCTATTAAAATAAAGCCTAAAATTCCGAACATGAGGGTAAAATATGAAAGAAACTTGAAATAACCTTATTTGCAAATTAAATTTTATGAGATAAAGCTAAGAAAGCGCCAAAATATCGAACATTTCAAAGCCGCGGATTTCTGTGTGCATAATTGCCAAATTTATCGGTCCGGGAAGCTCCTGCTGTAGTGAAATGGTAATTTCTTTTTTAGGCTCTTGATGAGATTTTATTCTCACTGGGTTTTTAAGGTTTTTAAAAAAGACATTTGTATAATAGTACACTTTGTGAAATAAGTCCAAGAAGAAAAAGATGAAAAGGTATTTCTTATTGCCTCCTTATGCACAAAATACAAATACAATACAGTAGAGATACAATACATACAAATATGGTACATACTTTATTGCAGCTCCCTACAAGGGTTTTTCAGTTACAAGACTACATCACTATCATACTTAAATAACTAAAACAATAACCAAATAACTAAGGAAACAAATATGCATTAAAAAATTAGTGAGATACAATGGATTGGATTTACTTTTTACAAATTCATAGATTAATCAGAAAAAAGTAGGTAAACAATTCGTTTCCTAAAAACGTTGACAGAATCTGAAGATTTAACATCGTCTCTTATATTATTCCAGAGCCTAGCACCACGGTAGGTGAAGGACCGCTGTCCGGTGGGTCGACGGCACCTTGAAATTTTCGGTTGACCGCGTTGTTTAGTATTTCTGGTGTAAATTTGTGAGCGCAGAGTAAATTTCTCAATTTAGTTGAGAAATTTACTTAAAAGTACTCAGGGAAGAATTTATTAACACATTTAAAGACCATTACGGCATTGTTCAAGTAAAGTCTGTCTCTAGCAGGCAGCCAATTTAGGGATACAATTGTGCAAAGTAACGGTGTAAATGTAATTTACACTGCATCAAGAAAAAAAACAAAACACTAGCCGGTTAGGCAGGCGAAACTTGAATGAAAAATTCCTACTTGATATTACGATGGCCCAGAAGGCTCACAGTTCGGTTGTGAATTTTCACAGTTCAGTTGTGAATTTTCACAGTTCAGTTGTGAGTTTTCACAGTTCAGTTGTGATTTTTCACAGTTCAGTTGTGATTTTTCACAGTTCAGTTGTGAATTTTCACAGTTCAGTTGTGATTTTTGAA